CCGCTGTTTTTTACCTTACAAAAAAAGTCACATTTTTGGTCTCTCAATTGAAGATGAACTATTCAATTTATTCAAGAAAAGTTTTTTTTTCTTTTTTTGAATTTTCAACAGTTTTTTTCGTATGCCATTAGTCAAAGTATTTTTCTTTATTCAAAAAACTCAGATAATTTTTATGCATGAATTTAAAAGAAATCTCAAGTAAGCTGTATCGAGTTTTTAAAATTTGAGGAAAATAATTTTATTTTTCTTTTCCCCACTTTCCTAGCCTATCAGAAGACGAACGCAGAAAAGAAAAATCTTGTAACATTCTGTTATGAGGGATTGTGGAAGTATTTGTTTTGTCTATTTAACTATGGTCTTGCAGATGCTCGTACTTTGACCTTGTCCTATCGCGGTCTGCACTTTTTTTTTTTTTTTTTTGCATCGCACTGCTTCTGTGAAATTCGCAGTTTTTTCTCCAGTGATAGATGACAGTTTTTGGTCATTTTGTACGAATTTCGTTTGTCAATCGCAGTGTTTCAGCCAGAATGAGAGATGAAAGTGAGTCACCAAATTTGCCTCAGCCGAAGGAAGATAATGAAGATGTTATTGCAAGGATGAAACGATTATTTCTTGTCGACCGAAGCGAAGAATCAGCAGTGGAAACATTAGAAAAGTTATTAGCCTTGCAAATACAAAGCATTGATATGTACGTTTTTCTGTTGTATGTCAGGTTCACATTGTAGGATAAACAAATTCTCAGGTTTTGGTTACCCAGAGTCGTATCTTTTTTTGAACAAAATTTTTCGTTTTTCTTCTGACTAATTTATTCTTTGGTTTTAACTCAAAACCATTTTTTTTTATTGTTCAAGATTCTGACTCATGAAGATGTTAGCCATTGGTTTTCCGAAAATATTTTAATTGTATTTTGAAGCTTTGGAAATTTCTCCTTTCTTAGCTTGATGAAAGTTTTCAATCTTCAAAAATCCTTCAAAGAAGTACTAAATTGCAGAGTGAAACGTAATTATTCTTTCATCTTGACTAGCCTTTATAGCTAAACTAATAGTTCTTTTTACAGTTCAGGGCTCATTTCTGTTGAAGTTTCAGAGCGCATTCAAATGTTATTGTTCTATGGAAAGAATGGGGAAACAAATTAAATGAATTATTCTGCAGTTACTCTAATAGATCACATTGTTCTCAAGGTCCTGGCTGAGTGTAGTTAATTAAGCAGTACTGAAAATTGCAAACGGTTGAAGGACCACCGAACTTAGGAAAGGTGGTGATAGGGAGATAAGTGTGAATGTGTAGATAAATATCATGTCGTTTTCTTAATGGCAGTTGGATTTTCTGAAAATTTTAGTGCTTTTAGTGCCAAACATTTTTTATCTGTTTGCAAGTTGTTCATCGTGATGTATAAAAGATTCTGTGTGAACGGAGGGTTATTTGACTGGTCGTTTTCTTGCTCTTTATTGGAAGAAAAAGGGGTAACATTATCATTATTGAAAAGTATAAGGATTGAAATTAAGGGAAAACTCAAGATAGTTGGAATCTGTATGAATTGGACTGCTGACCAGTGTAGTGCCGCTTAAGGAGTAAGTGAAAAGTCTTTGGAATACTACACTTTTGTACGGTATAGAGTGTTACCAACAACTTTTTGTTCTCTGTGTACATTATGTCGCACTTTGTCTCCAGAAGAGAATTTGCGTTACATAGATATTTATTTCTTAGCAGGTAACGATATTACTGAAGTCGTAGGACATAGCTTTTTTCCAGATACTTCGAATAGATAGTGCTTGTAAGGGAAGTTAGGGAGCATTATATATTTTTTTCAATGATTCCAGCTTGACGAGAAATTGACTGATTGGCAGGATAATCGTAATCTTTTGAAAGTGGAATGATATTTAAGGTGAGCCGGTTTTGATCAGAAATATCGTACGTTGTAAGAAGCACGCACAGAGGTCTCTAGAAAAGGAGCTACAAACTTTGCAATGAAATTGAAGGGTTCAGAGAACTTATTTACCAAGACTGTTTTGGAATGTTAGGATGTTTTTGATCTACTTCAGCATCATTTTAAATGAACACTTTAAGATACAGGCGTCAACCTACGTTATTTTGACAGCGGTTGTTTCAGAAAGTCAGCTCTAAATAGGTTTCTGATTCGTGAATTTAGTTTTTTTTTTTTTGACTGTTTCTTCGTTTGTTTGAATTTCTAGGTCATTTCCTTTTGGCCGTTGTTTGCGGGATAATCCAAGTGCTAATCTATACATCTTAATTGTCTGCTGACAAGTTACGCACCTCATTAACTTTACGTGTTTTTTTACGAATTCTGTCCAAATTTCACTGCTATTATATTTCACTTTATCGTTTCTTGCAATAAGTAGACTGGATTTTAATCATTTGAAGGATCAAAGCAAAAAAATTGAGAAGTTGGAAGAGAGGATACAGTAGCTTTGTCAATTAAGAACCGGTTTAAAAAATGAACACATTGACTCTTGCAGATTAGCTAGTATGAAAGATTGATAATGGAAGCTTAATTTTGGTTTTACTGAAGTTTAACCAAAAAGACTAGAGGAGGCACTTTTTTACTCTATTTAGCTGTGTATCTTTTTTCTCCTCTAGCAGCGCTTTTACTTTTTTGCAGGATAAAAAATTAAATACTTTTTGTAAGGTAGAGTTTTTATTGTTTTTCTTGAAAACAAATAATTCTTTTTATAATTTGCAGTTTTGTGAAACATTGATTTTCCTCTTCATCTTGATTGGAGTGCCAAGCTAAGCGAGAAAACGCAGGAGACCGAAGCTGTGTGGATTGGGGTCTTTTTCCTTCACCTCTTTTTATAATTGCTTTTTTTCTATAAACGTTTATGACGTTAAATTCTGGCTAATGTACGCTTTTAACGTCTAACACCTTTTTCCAAATTACTTTTTTTTTCGTATTTTTTGTAAATTTCGTATCCTTTTGTGAAATTACACGACATGTCCAAAAACTGAGAGTTAAAAAAGACGGATTTTAAAAAAGTGGTCAACATTCTTCTGTTTCCCCTTTGTTCTTGGTAACGAGTTCTAGCATTCTTTGCGGAATTTCTTTTATATGAAAAATTCGCAGCCAAGAGTGATAGCTTTTAACACTACTGAGGTAGCTGCGACAAGAACAATATTAGTGTAGATGATTAGAAATGCTTCATGTTTTCAAGTTTCCATCTCCAGGCCACTCGCTAGAAAGTAAGATTATAGCAGCTTCTGTGAAATTAGAGATTTACTGCCAGTCTATGAAATCATGTACGATAAGTGGTATATGATTTATATAAGCAAATTCTGTTACTGGATCTTGTCTAGGTCGCTATAGGTGATATTGCGCAACTTCAACAGACTTACGTTCTTCCTGCGAGCCTTTGATGTGGTGGGTCTAGAATTTCACCAGAAAAAGCCGTGAGTTTTTTAGTTTTTGAGCGGGGACAGTATGATAGAATTTTAATGTAGAATTTTTTTTTATTTTTTATGGTCAAGTTTCAAACATAAGATTTCGATCTGAAGTTGTCTTGCACTAGTGAAAGACTGGCGAAAATCTGTTTCAGCATCAGCCTTTATCAATACTGATCAATTTAAAGTACGTCATAACGTTGAAAGTGAGATTAGTAGAGAGCTCTTCAACAAAATATGCCATTACTTATTTCAAAGGACTTCTAAAAACATACTTTATTTTTTTTAAGAATGAATCATCTTACTTTAAATGGTTGCAAGGTTGAGAAAGCATTTCGTGATTGGAAAAAGGTGATTTAAAAGTTTGCTTTGCTCGGTTTAATAATTATTTACGGTTAAAGTTTGAGCTTCAAGCAGACTTATTGCTGGGCATTAGTCACTTGAAGACCTGGAAGTAAAAGTATATGGTGCAAAACTTAGTTTGCTGATTCATCTGTGAAAAATTAAGACAGTCATTGGATGGAAAAGGACTTGCAGCTATTTCACTACTGTAAAGCCCATACCCTTTTAGTTCTTCTCCAGCTTAATTGTCAACTGACTGCTGTTGAAGAAATTCGGAATCGATTTACACTCATTATTTAAGAGAAAGATATTTTATAATACTTTTTACTTTTTCAATGCGTACTCGTTCCTGAACAGTAATAATTTTATTCTTGAGAAAGCTCACCTTTATTGGTGGATTTTTATTCAGAAAGCTTTTTTTTGGGTTTTTTGATAAGAAATTTTTTAAAAACTTCAGCATTTTTTTTCTTTCAAGTTACTCAGTGTTTCTCTTTCAGGGACTCATGGCTGGAAGTAAAAGATCTCCTAAATCGTTTGTTAAACACGATAACAGTACCTAACTTGGTTTCTAGACACCAGATCATCGTTTTGAATGCTATTAACAACAGTCCAAGTATTGTTGTTGATTTTCTGGCTGATCTTATTGCCAGAAATATTGAACAGCTGGAGACCGAGCTGGCTACTTCGCACATTGCTATTCCCATTGCTTTCGCTCGAAGAATTACCGATTCACAATGTTGTGACTCTATTGCTAAAGTAAATATGTTTTGTTTTTTCTTCGAGTATGAAAATAGATTTTATTTCATGGATTAGGTTTATTGCACTTACAGTTTTTGTGGCGATTTGCACATATTGATGCTGTGCGCAACGAACTGGAATCCTTATTGGTGAATGCAGATACTGGCGTTCGATTCCGAATCCACCAAGTAATTTCTTCCTAATTTTATTTTATTTTTTTTTCCAGCTTATGGCTCCACATGTGTATTACTTAATAATAAAATCGGCCGCAACGAAATTGCCTTTTAGGTTACGTCTAATTATTTAAAAGAGAAAGGAACTGGAAGTGAGGTTTCTGAGTTACTCCAGTCGTTAATTGAAGAAATTAGTGTGCCTGATATTTTAACGCAATTAACTGCAATAGAAATGTTGTCTGAGGCTGCATACAAGTGGGTTATTTCTAGTGATCAAAGTTTGATTAGTGTTTTGCTATACTGCTTTCTACTTTTTTGACTTAGAATTTTGATGAGAAACCGAGATAGCGGTACTCCTGTCTCTAAATTTTAGTAACAGTTACGGCAGTATTAATAAGCATTTTTCTAATTTAACGAGCAGATACTTTGGGTGACCTTTATCAGTTTTTATTTGGTTTAAAGTATACTAGAAGTGAGTTTTAAGATGGAAAATAGTTCTATGATGACGGTTAATTTTAGAATGCCCAGGAAATGATTATTATTATATATTTGGATACAGTAACTTTTTTTAAACATTCAACGTCTAAAATCAACGTCTAGAAGTTTTTTATTTGGTAGAGGTGCTGTATCTTTGCGGTTAAGCCCATAGTGTAATTTTAAAAATTTTTCAGCAATAAAGCAGCTACAGCGTACTTGTTTTCACTAGGTCTAATCGATAATATGTACAGTCTGTTAAACGCAGTTGCTGAACAACCGGACGCGGGCTTTTTATTTCCAGGCATGGGAATAAAGTTTATACTTGGTTATGGATAAAATTAAATTTTATTACCAACTTTTTTGTCCACTACGTCTTCAAAAACGATAGGGTATCCAAAATTTTGTACTTAAACTACTCGTCGGCTTGTCTAACGGGATAGTTTCAGCTGTGATGAAGTTTTTTGGTCACTTGTCGATCACAGATGCTCAATGTTTGAGGCGGTACCCGAATTTTTTGCGAAATTTACTGGACTTGGTTTACCAGTACGACAGATTAGATGCATCATTGCGTTTGTTGGCTTTTGACACGCTTGCAGTTGTTGCCAGTACAGAAGACGCAAAACGTTATTTGTCGTCATTTTCTGGTAAGTTACGAAACATTATTGTGAAGGTCTCGTAAATTTAATATTTTTAAGGTTAAAAAGTTTGCTTTAGATGGTTTTAAGATGTAAAGGATTTTTTTCCTAAATTTACAGAATATGATCTTGAAAAGGCGATGAACACTTTTGGCGTTGCAATTGCGACAGGTCCATTAGAACTGAGAGTTCGACATGTTGAAGCTCTATCAATACTTTTTCACAGTGAGAGGAAGACGCCTAAGGTAGGAAATAAATTTATCTTCAGAGAAAATCCTTTCTTGTAATTTTTTGTTTAATTGCTTTTATTCTTTCATAATACTTTTTTTAAAGGAAGACATTAGCGATATTGCAAAATGCTGGTGGAAGTTTTTGGGAGATGGTTTTCCTTCAGTCGTTGTTACGTATATGTCGAGACCATTTGAACAGCTGAGGCTTGCAACCCTTCAACTGATAGCTAATGTCCTTTGTTACAGCTGGGGAGCAGAAGTGTTGAAGAGTACTAATGGGTGATAGTTTACTTCTCATCTTAATAAAACTCTCTTATAGTGATTTTAGGACCTTTACGAGTGGCATTACTAGATTTCTGCCTGGAGCACCTGAATGGTTGAGGAAAATAAATGTTATCATTTTTCAGGTTTGTTAATGCTGTATTAGACCGTCGTGTTGAAACAACTCCGCAAGGAAAACACTTGAAATATAATATAGTGTCGCTATTAGTTGAAAAAGGTAGTAATCTTTTTACACCTGACGCTCTTATGAGGCTCAAACTTTACTTACGAGAGGGTCCATTCTATGTAGAAGTCCCACCAAGTCTCGATTTGATGAATGATTGATGGTTTTGGACTTTCACTAGAATCGGAAACATTAGTTCATTATTGCTTTTTGAAGGAGGGTACAGTCATGATCTGACATTTGTTTAAATTCGTTGCGGAGTGTTCCATTATTTATGAAAATGTTAACTGTGTTTTTTTGTCATGAAAAAGGTCCAGTTGTTGTTTTTTTTTTTTTTTTTTTT